CTCCTCTCCTCTCCACTCTACTTTTCCTTTCTTCCCCCTTCCTCCCTCCTTTCCTTCCTTCTTTCCAGGGTTCAAACCCAAGGCCTCATACATGCTAGGCAAGCACTTTGCCTCTGAACTATACCCTTAGCCTAGGTCTATAAATTTTCTTAAAAATTCTAGAAAGATAAATCTTGACAGGCTTAAGATAAGCAATCAACATGGTCAGATTCCAGTCCAGACAATTCTTGGAATAATAGGAGCAAGGAGTGTAGCTTGGATGTCAGGCCCAGACTTAGATTCTCCCCACAAACTCACCTCTCCAAGAATTAGACTTAAGACAAGACACAAAATTTTTTAAAAATACCAAAATCAAGCAAGATTTGTAGTTAACATCAGTAAGGAGACAACACTGGTTTTGATCACACAGGCAACTTGAAGTTGCTGCCTTTGGAGATTGCCAAATGTGTGCAGCAACTCAGAGGGTAAATCAAAGCTGGCAGTCTTTGGTTTAGGTAGGTACTCCAAGTGATAACAGAGAGGTAAGTGGTTCTTTCCTGGGCCTATTTTATTTTCTAACAAGGTTTTTATTTCTTCAACAATTAAAGAATGAAACAGCAGCAGTAACCTGAAGGAAATCACACAAGTTTCAACTTTTTCCTTCTATTCTCCCCTTTGACAGATCCCACCACTGCGTCCACGCCCACCCAGCCTCAGCCCACCACTTATCCGATCTGACACAATTTCTAAGGACTTGGAAGAAATCTCTATTGATGATGAGTCACCTAAAAGTCCACAAATGAAGGCTTCATCAAAAAAGATCTTGACAGAAAAGAAGGTATTAGCTACATTTTAAGGGACAGGGTGAGGGAGTCACCCATCACAGATGTCATTTCTTCTTACATTCTCTTTTCTACTGCTATAACTCAATGTAAGAGGGAAGTTAGAGTGATTGTTTGGGGAAGGAGCTGCCATTCTTGGCTTTGATTCGCACTGTGGTTTACATTTTCCATCCAGTGCTACAAACCAAATAATCACTTTTTAAATTTATAAACAATGGAGGACAGTTTTTGAGAAAAAGTAGTAGTTTGCAGATGTTTTCAGTTATTTTATGAAAACAAAAATAGAGATTTTTTGAAGTACTCGGGATTGAACTCGAAGCCTTCATACTGAGTTACATCCCTAGCCCTTTCTTACTTTATTTTGAGACAGGGTCTCACTAAATTGCTAAGTTGCCTAAGCTGGGCTTAAACTTGCAATCCTCCTGCCTTAGCCTTCCAGAGTATGGGATTACAGGAGTGTACTACTACCCTCAGTTTAAAAAACATAGAAATTTTTTAGAGCAAAGCCTCTATACTTTCAAATTCAAAATCTCAAAGGTTCAGCCATGTAGTATTATTTTATAGACACACCTCCACATGAAATATCAGTTGACACATGAGAGGATATGTGTGTATGTTTATCTTCAGGTCTGTTAACCAAGTAATATCTATCAACAGTTGGCAAATTAGTAGATTTTACTCATATCAATACTTTCATTTTCAAATTGATATGTGCTTAATTAGTTGGGTTATATGTGGAAGGCTTTTAGACTGATATAGATTTTAGAATAAACTTGGAAGCTAAAAAATAAACAGAAACAATTTATAATGAAATAATTGATCAGTATTATAGATTAGATCTAAAATGTCCCCCAAAAGTGTTATATGTCCAGACCCAGGCCCTAGTCAGAAAAGGTGGATCACTGAGGGCATGACCTGGAGGGGTGTCTTCTTGTTCCCAGCTCCTCCCTTCTCTTTCTGCTTCCTGGCTCCAATGAGTTGTGTAGGTTTTCCCCACCGTGCCCATCCACCATGCTGTTTCTGCCTTGGAGCCAACTGACCATGGACTGAACTCACTAAAACTATGAGCCAAAATAAACTTCTCCTACTTTAAGTTGCACATGTCAGGTATTTTGCCTCAGCAACAGGAAAGTGACTAGTACAGCCAGTCAGAATAAAACTCTATTTTGATGTCAAAGGATCCTATCAGTGGAAACCATCTTTGGTTATATACATCAAAAAATAGATTAGAACCTAACCTATGATCCCATGAATGAAAACAACCATTGGTTATATATGTCAAAAAATAGGTTAGGATCTAAAACACAGACTGGCAGTAGGTGGATGGATATTCACTGATTTATGAACTTGGGTCATAATTATATATATTTTCTGCAAAATACCACTAAATCAGGTGAGTTGGGATACTCTGAATTGGTGGGAGGATTGAATTAAATAACATTTTTATTGTGGGAAAATACAGATGACATAAAATTTACCATTTTAACCATTTTAAAGTATATAATTTAGTGGCATTACGTACATTCACAATGTCATGCAACCATCACCATTATCTAGGTCCAGAACCAATTTGGTTCTCATAAGTGGAAACCCAATATCTACTAAGCAGTGATGTACCATTCTATCTTCTCATTAGCTCCTGACAACTAATTTGCTTTCTGTATTTTTATTTTCCTATTCTGTTCATTTCATATAAATGGAATCATTCAATATGCAGTCTTTGTGTTCTTTCACTTACCATAATGTCTTTCTGTTGTGTTTCTGGAATCTTAACAATTATATGCCTATGTGTAGAATTTTTTTGACCAAGGCTATTTGGAGTCCTATATGCCTCATTTATCTGTATGTCAAGCTCTTTTCCCCTGCTTGGGAAGTTTTCTGCCATTATTTCTGTGAAGAGATTTTTTATGTCATCTCCACTCTCT